GTTCCTTCGTTTATCAGTGATGTGTTTATATACCATCGTGTCTTCCAACATTTTGGTAACTTGACTCTGATAGTCAGTTCTATTCATTACAACAACAGAATTTACTTTATCTGCTTTTGTTACTAAAACAGTCTCGTCAGACTTCAGATCTTTTAATGCTCTCTTTTCTCCACGGGTTAAATTCTGTTTGGCAGGTGGTCGTGCTTGTTTCAAGATAGAATATATATTTATTCTTACCTCGTTCTTCGTTTCCTTCGGCAAATTTTTAATGCCTTGTTCAACTGAAGCTAGTATTTCTTTCTTGGGAATTGTTTTTGGGGTGCTAACATAATTCAATCCTTTTCTTAACAAACTGATTTCATCGTCATTCAATTTTCTCCCAGAGGTATTTATAACCCATTTCTTTTGAATGTCGTCTGAGTTGTCATTTTGTATCAGTTGATGGAATTTCTTTCGATGTCGTTCTTCAACCGCATTCTGTAGATGAGAACATCGGCTCGATATTGCCTGATGTAAACTGGATAAACAAGTATCTGCAACGATATTCTGTAAAATCTCAATCAAATCTGTAGATTCCTTACGTATGGATTTAAGCTTGTGATGGCAATTGCTTATAAGGACGCGGAGATATGCCCACCCGCTTTTTCTGGCGATGTTCCATGCCTTTGGATGGTCTATTGGTGGCTTTGATAGGAGAAAACGTGGTAGTCGTTCTTGTTCTTTACACAAATGAAGATAGCGTAGATGTTGTTTTTGCCGTACTTGCGATAATGAAATTTGTTCTAGTCGTCTCGCCTGACGTAATGCATCTGCATTGTAGTTAACTTTAATGTGTCTATATATGCTGTTGAGGCGACCAGTAGGAGACATGTTTTTCGAAGTTGTATCTGGTCTAGTTAAAATATTTAAAAAGTTCTAAGTTAAAAATATGTACTGAATATGAATGAAGAATGTACTTAAAACCATACGTAAGGAATCTACAGATTTGATTGAGATGTTACAGAATATCGTTGCAGATACTTGTTTATCCAGTTTACATCAGGCAATATCGAGCCGATGTTTTCATCTACAGAATGCGGTTGAAGAACGACATCGAAAGAAATTCCATCAACTGATACAAAATGACAACTCAGACGACATTCAAAAGAAATGGGTTATAAATACCTCTGGGAGAAAATTGAATGACGATGAAATCAGTTTGTTAAGAAAAGGATTGAATTATGTTAGCACCCCAAAAACAATTCCCAAGAAAGAAATACTAGCTTCAGTTGAACAAGGCATTAAAAATTTGCCGAAGGAAACGAAGAACGAGGTAAGAATAAATATATATTCTATCTTGAAACAAGCACGACCACCTGCCAAACAGAATTTAACCCGTGGAGAAAAGAGAGCATTAAAAGATCTGAAGTCTGACGAGACTGTTTTAGTAACAAAAGCAGATAAAGTAAATTCTGTTGTTGTAATGAATAGAACTGACTATCAGAGTCAAGTTACCAAAATGTTGGAAGACACGATGGTATATAAACACATCACTGATAAACGAAGGAACCCAACAACAAAAACTGAATTAGAGTTAGAAAAAATGTTAAAAGATTTAAAACGCTCAGAAAATTTGACTGAGAAAGAATATTGGCAATTAAAACCTTTTGATTCCTCCCCAGCTACATTCTATGGTCTACCAAAAGTTCACAAATACCCCTTGTGTGCAATGGTGATCATTTCACGCTTGATAAGGATATAGACCATCAGATTCCGTTGCGCCCAATAAATAGCAACATTGGCTCACCAACATACCAATTGTCTAAATATCTAGCCAAATTACTTAAATACCTTTGTTTGAATAACTATTTCGTTGTGAATAACAGCAAAGAATTTACAGAATTTATTAGACACCAAAAGCTTGAAACCAATGAAACTATTGTATCATTTGACGTTGTATCTTTGTTTACATCGATTCCTGTACAATATGCTTTGGACATAATCAAACGTAAATTGTATGAAAGTGATGAATGGAAACAGCATACCAACTTGCAGGAAATGCAAATCGTCAAATTGCTGAAGTTTGTTTTGAATAACAGCTACTTTAAATTCAATGGATCGCACTACCATCAAGTTTCTGGGTGTGCCATGGGGTCTCCTGTCAGCGCCATAATTGCGGAAATAGTAATGCGGGAAATAGAAATAGAAATCACAGCCATAAACACTTCACCTGTGCCAGTCCGTTGGTGGCGACGTTATGTAGATGACTCTAATTCATGCTTACAAAAACAAGACATTGACAAATTCCATTGCCATTTGAATTCTATCAACCAGAATATCCAATTTACGATCGAAATGCCGTCGTTAACTGAGCATGGACAACAAATCCCCTTCTTAGATACCATAGTAACAATTGACAACGACCGCAACGTGGAAGTCGATGTATATCGAAAGAGTACTCACACAAACAAATATTTATCATTTAGTTCCCACAACCCTAACCAGAGTAAACGAGCTGTTGTTAAAAGCCTACTTGATCGTGCTAAAAACATTCCCTCAACAATTTCAAACCAAAAGAATGAACAAGAGCGTGTTATGAAAGATCTAGCACTCAACGATTACTCAAGTAAATTTATTCAACAGACCTCTTAACCCACTGAAACACCTAATAGACTAAACAACAACTCCTTAGGTTTTACATGCATCCCCTACATAAAAGGTGTATCCGAACAAACAAAACGAGTATTATGTAGCGCCGGTGTACGAACAGCATACAAGCCTATGCCAAGTCTGGGTGACATATTTGGAAAAGCGAAAGACAAACAAGCAGACTCTGAAATAAAGGGTATTGTTTATAAGTTTGAGTGCCCAGATTGTCCTTTCACTTATATTGGTGAGAGTAAAAGATCGTGGAAGTCACGGTGGGCTGAGCACAAGCCAGGTGTACGACCGGAAATAAAGTCTGCAATTAAAGATCATGCAGAAACTACAGGACACGAGACTTCTATGGAGAATGCTAAGATCATAGAGAAGAGAGTGCAAAATACACACAAGAGGCTCTTCCTTGAATCTCTACACTCGGTGTTGGACAAAAGATCAACAAATGAACATAAATTATTTCCATCAATTTACATGCCATTAGTGCAGTCATGCAACTATAATGACACTATATAATGTTCTGTCAGCTCCGGCATATATATATATATATATATATATATATATATATATATATATATATATATATATATATATATATATATATATATAAATGATAATAATACTTGAATGAACATGTAGAATTTAATAACAATTTCATACATAGAAATACTATGTCAGTTTTTGTCAAATTATCATTTTAATGGCACCTTCAAGGCTACCCATATCACAGAACAACTAAACAATCAGCTGATGCGGAGACAAAATCTATTTGTTGACAGTTTTGTTTGATACGTCAGCTTCTGATGACACCATTCATTTGTAAAGAATAATAATGTACTCAGTCAAAACTGCAAAACTACATAATAAGAAAGAAATTGTGAGCATTATCAAAAAATACAGTATACCCTGAAATGTAGTGACACAGCCAAGTGAATATATAAATGTAGGCCAGTAGGATTATTTCTATTATGCTAACAATGGACATATCTCAAGCCTGGTTCCGATATAACGCCGCGATGATGGATCCGCTGACTCATTGTCGGTAGTCATTGAAGGAGAAAATGATTTTAATGGAACTTGCTAACTGTCAGCGTCGCAGTATAGGGAGACAACAGTAAGGCCACTCATGATCAAAAAGTGTCTGCATTGTGTACTGGCTAGTGGCAGCCAACCTAATTTCCATATTGGCAGCCAGTAAGCGGCAACAGTTCACTATAACATTATATTACAGAGTAAATGGTTTTGACCGCGCAAGACGTCATGGAGCAGAGTAGCTTAAAAATTTCCACTTTTGTCTCCCCTTAGTGCTGGCCCCTACTGGTTGTCTCCCTATACCGTGTCGGCGTTATATGGAAACCAGGCTTAATGCACTAGCAAATTGAAACCCTGGCTCCTCGACCCCCGGAACAGGGCGGGGAAATTAACATTTTGACAGTGTTAAATTTTGGTAATTTCCCCGCTACCGCGGGAATATTGACTGTTAAATTTACCGCCCCTTAGGCCAATGGCCCCGGCACTTTGCAAATTTTCATGACTTGGGAAATCGTTGAAGTATAAAATGTTCACAACATCTGAAGGCAACTTTGATCCGTATCATAAGATACTGAGTAATCTACGTTTGGACTATCTTGCAGTCATCACTTAATAAAAACTATGAGGAAATTACAATTAAATCGGACAAAATAAAGATAAAATATACAGATAAATTACAGATAAAACAGACAAAAGTTTATGAATGTCACGAGGGTAAACTCCTTTCAGTCCACTTTCATATCAGCCGCGCGTTAAAGTCCAGGTTATGGTTCCGGCTAACAAATTGACTGGTTAGTTAAGCTGTACCCCGGGGAAAATGGTGCATTAAATCCGCGTTAACCACGGTCGTTCTCCCGTTAATTTTCCGCCCTGTCCCGGGAGTCGGGGTCTCAATTGACCTGGGGCCGGTTGTATAAAAACGTAGTTAGCGCTAACTGCAGTTAAAAAGTAGTTAAAAAGCCTTAAAAAATAGTTAACTTTAATCACGTAGTTAAGCCGGGTGTATAAAAGTGTAGTTAGCCTTAACTGCAGTTAAAAAGTAGTTAAAGTTAACTATGCTTTAGGGTATAGTTAACTGTCCAAAACGTAGTTAAAAATGGCGTTTGTATAGGAGTGAACAACATTTTTCAATAAAACAACAATGAAAAGCAACGCTTACCTGAGATTTTCAATCGCTATCTTCCCTGTGAATATTTCCTGACATTATAAACTCTTCAAACGCTATCGCTTTGGTGTTTTTACGAAAACAGAACATATTTTTGCATAGGACGATTTCTCGAAGACGAAGTATGGTCCATTACACCAAGAAACACTGATATATAATTGCCAAACAGCTATACCTTGGTTTAACATAGGCATCTCAAGGAAAAACTGCATTCTTTTATGATTTTTGTGGCGGTTTTTCCTTGTTTTCTTGTATATTTTTCACTGTTTTCTAGTGTTTTGTATAAAATTCCCGCCTATTTGCAAAATACGAGTCCACAATCATGTTGAAAATGTGTGTCAGCGGTCGTTATTCGATGTTTACTTTATGTAATTTTGTGTTTAAACGCCCCACGCAAGCCCCACGCACAGTTAACTACGTGATTAGTTAACTATCCGACTAACTACGTTTTGTGCAACGCAGTTAAGTCATGTAGTTAACTGATTACAGTTAAGGATTTAACTACAGTGATTAACGCTAACTACAGTTAGCGCTAATTACGTTTTTATACAACCGGCCCCAGTGCATTAGAGATATATTTTTACAGACTCTCATACGTTGTACAAACGTCAGTTGACATGTTATTACATGTAACTGCTGCTAGTTAAATGTATACAGACAACAATCCACAATGGGTTGCTATAGTATAGGAATATCTTTATACAAGTCAGATAAGTTTTCATTTGTATACAATTGTGTGTTCCAATTCGAGCATGATATTGCTCAATTGATGTTCTCTCATTATTCATTATAACAATGTTAATAATAAACTATCACTGCGATAATTCATACCTTGAAGTACGATGCTCTATCAAGCTTAATCACATTTTTTACAAACTGACAATCGTCTAGCTTGGCCACTTGTTTATATGAAGAATCGTATGCACCTAAAAATTTAATAATGTAAATACTGTTAACTCATTCGTTTCAACGGGTAAAATACTTCGACCAAAACACATTGTTATTTGTGATCAAACTTTCATCTTAGGGAGCAGTCATTATTAATGCCGGGGGGGGGGGGGGGGGGGGGGGGGGGGAT